TTAATGATATATAAAACTGCAGTTTGTACCGCCCAGAAAACACGCTGCGTCTCTTTGTTCTGGGTTACGACGCCGTGTAGTCTGCGAGTCCTTCCCCGACGCCTTGGAGGAAAGTCGTGCTTGGATCTTCAGGGCAGAAGAAAAACTCTAGCGTAGGGATGCTGGTACCGGTATGAGGAGAAGGGGAGGTGACCGGAACTGGAGCCCTGAGCGTACCAATAGGAGTTAAACAGAGTTAAAAGAGCACTGGCCTTTTAATGAGCCGTTTTCCATAGTCTAGGGGTAACGTTCCCACCTCATAACTCAAGGTAAGCGGGTTCAAACCCTGCGGAGGTCGTGGAATTTTTAAGGGCGGAAAAATTCAGGGAACAAGTCCTCCGGGAGGGACTTTAAACCGTGTGTCCCGTGTCGTAGATTTACGGCACATAAAAGAACCTCATGTCTCTAGGAGACCTCTGAGCTAAATTAGGCAAAAAGTTTCCCGCCCAAGTACTTTCTAATGCCTCCGGTAAATGGGGAAGTATTAGGTACCGCTGCCAGAAGAGGGCCGACCTCGCTGACAGAACGGGACTAATTATCAGATACCACTGCCAGAAGAGGGTCGAAACCTCGCTGGCAGAAAGGGGCTGATAGCGAGCACCAGTACCGGTAGGGTATGGAGACAGTAGAAATTAAAAGGGGGACGTACAATAGACTATTAGTCGCGGTGCATGGGGAAACCCACCCCCTCAATACTGGATAACTGGAACGGGCCGTTTTCCAAGGTCAGAAATATTTTACCCTGAAGATGGAGGCAGAGGTTCATGTTTAAAATAAATGCGCTACATACCACGTGATTTGTTTGTTTCGGTCTTAATTTATCATAATGCTCGACTCACCTGACCGCATTATATTCCTGTCAATTTGATGGTGATATTCCTGCAGGATCATCTACACAAACAGTCGGAAAGCAGGCTAAAAACAAGGAGCTTGCTGTTCGGAGCACGTTCTGCTATCGATTTGCATAATCGACTGCGATAATGAAAGCGAGCTTTCACTCTCGCTGTAAACAGGAAGTTCTTCCTGGAGCTTGGGGCTGCAATTTCTGGAACCGAGGACCAGATAAGTTCACAGAATTGTGTCTGTCTCGTCTCGCACCGGATCTGGAGTCCACTGAACCTAGGAAATAGTTACATGACATGCCGTAATATTGCTGGTAGCATGGGCGGCTGCTGAAAACAAAGATTTTGTTCACACTTGGCATAGAACCTCAGGTGGGCGGGATATGTGAACGGGGTTTGAAGAACACTTTGTGCTTTTATCCCTCAGGCATATTTAACTGTTGTTGTACGCTCCTCCGTTTCAGTTTCGTTAGCCACTTCGGTTGATATGAACTGTTAAATAATAATCGAAATAGTTTAGTTACAGGACAACAGATGTAGCTACTTGCCGTACGTTGGCCGGATGGGCATTGCCTGTATCATTTTTCTGTATACTCATTCGTACGTACACTTATTTTTTCAAAAAAAAAAAAAAATAGTACGTGCTTAATGTTGAAATTTCTGACACCATTTTGTATTTTAAGGTTTATTTTACGACGCTGTTAGTATGTAAATATATACCAGGGGTGGTTAAACTTACTGAAAGTCGCGGCCCACTCGACCGTATATCTTAGCAGTTTTGGAACCGCAGACGGACGTTTAACAGACGACAGGAATTGTCCCTTCAGTCGGTAACGGGATATGAATTGTTGAAGGCTGTGTCCTTTACCATATGATCCAATTTTGTTGGTATTCTCACGTTCCTTAACGTAGCGTGTAGAACCGTTTCTGGGAAACGGCTCATGGGAGTTATTACTCATGTTATTTGCTGTTGCTTTGTGTTGTCTGCCCTTCTGTCTTACAGGGAGTTTCAGATGCCATGTTCTCCCGCCGGTGATTATGAAGATCACTGTTTCCTGGAGTGTGACGCCATGCAGTCTGGTAGATCGAACTCTGTGACTGAACATACAACTTTCCTGACTTGTATTAGGGAAGATGGCGTTTGGAATCTCGGCTCCGAAAAGAATTATCCTGCCCGGATTTTCGCAGTTTACCTCGGTCCCTCCAATGCATGTCTGGAAGTTGCCTGGAAACTGAAGGTCCCGACGTTAGCAATCGTCAAGTTAACGCTTACTAGCATGCACGTGGTTTGTGTGACAGGCGGGGGTAAGAAAGAATAATAGAAGGGTATATAAAAAGGGAGGTAAAGGCCTTGCGACGAGCTGATCACTCGCCCAAGGAGTCCTACCGTATGTGTAAGATCTAGAAAAACCGAAGTGAACGGAGTTCATGGAGGTAGGCCTAGGCCCACTGGGGCTGTAGTGCCAAGGAAAAAAAATATAAAACGGGAAAGTCGTGGAAGAGGAGAAATAGAAGAATTATGTAAGAAGGTTCCCAGGCTCCGCCCGTTCATGCTTCTGATAAGGGTTGTATGGAAGTGGAGGCGTTGGAATGGGTTAGAAGTTCTGGTTACCGACAGAGGCCGCCGAACTTATCTGAAAGGAAATACTGAATTTCCGTTACAAAGATCAGTCGGTCAGTGTTTGGGGAAACAATAGCTCGTCGCTGTGAGATGTACAAATACACCGCGTGACGAATCAGGACTTAGTGGACGTTGCAGCAGATGGTACATGTTAATTAAAAGCGTGAGTTTGTCTTGTCATCTGCTTGACAAGACTTTTGGGATTTCACAGAATATCGCGGTCACTGCCGATCGCGGGGCTAAATATGTGCCTTCCTAACACGAGTCCCGCGGTAGCATAATTGGTTGAGGCACTATGCTACAAGCCGGAAGGTCGCGGGTTCCAGTCCCGATGAGGTCATTGGATTTATTTCAATTTACCTAATCCTTCCGGCCGCATTATGGCCCTGGAGTCGAATCAGCCTCTAACAGAAATGAGTACCAGGAATATTCTTGGGAGTAAAGGGCGGTCGGCGCGTAGGGCTGACAACCTTAGCGCCATCTATGAGCCGATTGTCTAGAAAATGTGGGAACCTCAACATCTCACAACCCTATGGGCTCCATGGCCTGTTACAGGGATATCTTTACTTTACTTTAACACGAGTAATTCCAGTGAAAGATGTAAGATTCTGAGCTTTTCTTCTTCTTCTATGCAAAGGGCAATCTCGTGAATAAGATTAATTTTTGTTGCGCGCAAGACTGTACCAAGGAAGTGGCTTGTTGTAAGCTCTGCTGACGGCCGCTCCTAAAAGAAATGACGCGCCGTAATTGGAGGGGGGGGATGAGTGGTGCCGCGCATTCTGTTCTGGCAGCTGTTCATGGAGCTGCATCAACTGCTGAATTTTATAGGCTACCTAGGCTAAAAATGGTAGAATGTTTATGTATTGTGGACTTGGCTGGAAGCGGTCTTCGTGTATTGAAGATATGATCCGTGTATTTGGCTGAAGGCACTGAGAGATACACCTAGAGAAGGCAGTACGAACGTCGAGATTTTGTCTGGGTACCTACAAAATAGAAGTCAGACACATCGCTGAAGAAAAGTATCACGTGATCAGATTATTATTGATGATAGATTAGAAAGGAGTTGAATGGACGCGATCGTGGCCTATTACAAAATATCCCAGCATTTGTTTGAAAGGAATAGCGAGAACCTGGTTCTCCGTGTCAGAATATACGAAACGGCACTGGATGCTTGGCACTGGGAACTGAACATGAGTTCGCATTACTGAGTTCAGGAATATTCATCACGTGAATATTCCGACTTAGCTTCACGTTACGAAACTGAGAGGGCTGTTGAACAACCCCGGACACGTGACAGTATTTACCATGATGCGTCGTACGTGAACATGCACGCACTGGCTTCTGTAATTACTGATATGCAACCCATGCTCTGACCGAGACTCGAATCTAGTGCTTGTGTAATTAATTTTTTTAATTCGCTTAGTCGGGAGTGGAGTCCAACTGGGTCCACTCTGCACGGCGGCCACTGATTGGTCTACTGTAGCCTGCCCCGGGTGACTATGATGATGGAGAATTTGGTGGAATGAAGATTGGCAGGGCAAACAGAAGTACTCGGAGAAAACCCGCCCCAGCGCCACTTTGTCCACCACAAATCCCACTTGATCAGACCCCCGGGATCGAACCCGGGCCTCCGCGGTGGGAAGCCAGCGACTAGCCGCTTGGGCTATGGCGCGGCATTAATGCCTGTGTAACATGTGACAGTGTTGTTGTAAGATTTATAGCGTTCTGAAGACAAAACTGAGGAAAACCGCAGCAAGGAGCGCCGCGTGATTCGCCTTTGTCGTGTGCGCGAACAATGGCTGACGCTCATAATAATGTTACGTCACTCGCTTTCATCCTCTTCTGTTCCTGTTATCAGAAAAGATACAAAAATAATGTGCTCCTTCACAGCGCTGTGTCGTCTGCCTAATTGAAACATCGCGAGGCTTCGTATTGCGCCCTGGGGAAATTTCTTTCTTGGGAGGGGTCTTTATGGCTGTGGCGAGATGGAGTTGTTTCTTGTGGTTACCTATAGAGGCGCTCCGTACACTTTTATTGACTTCATTTCATTCTAAATTTAATTGGTAACAATAAAGCATGGATTACTAAAGGAAATATATTTTAGACGCTCCCCTGAAATTGGATTTGCATGTCTGTCTGTAACACTCTAAGCTCTGGGATCATGAGAGACGTCATGTCATTACGATTCATTTGTCGTGTGAAATGTGTTTCGATAAGTGTTTAATGTTCTTAATTAAGGTTTTTGTTCTACTACGTACGTAATTTAATCACTGGTGTTGCCTATAATCAAAGACGTTCGTTGGTGTCAGTACAAATACGATCGTATGTCACTGGCGAGAAAAATACACATGATATTGTAGCGTGTACGGTGTTGCTATGCAACGATAAACAAATCTACCAGAGCCGGCTCGGTAAACATGTTCCTGCGGCAACGTATACGTTTACATTATAGGCACTATTGGAAACGGTGTTTTATACTCGGTCCGTGCGAAGGGGATATGAGAACAATTGAAGCAAGAATAGAAGTTGGAAGGGAGCTGGCATTTGGAGAGGACTTGAGCGCGGAAGCGGAAGAGTGGTCATTATTGAGGGCCGTTGCCGAGGGAGAGGCGTCTGGTGGGGGCACTGCGGGCTGGGGAAGACTTTTAGTGGTTTGTAGAGTGTGGATGTTGGAGATGGCGCGGTGATTAAGTGTAGCTGCAGGTTTTGTATTGGAGTGGTGATAAGTCCAATATCCAATCCAAAAACACTGTCGAGAATCACACTCAAACACGTGACAAATTTAACAAAGAAATTGTTTTAGTAAGAGGATATTTAATTGTTTGGTTTCAGAATTTTGATTTGTTTGTGTCTGCATGTGTTTCTAAGGGATATGATTTGGTGGTTACATGATAACACACGTCGAAACATTCTGTATTAAATCGCTTTTATGTCTTCGAAATCATCCGCAACATGGGGAAGACGCGCTCGTTCTCATATCGGCCGGGACTTCGCCAGTTTTCGTGTCCCCGTGAGATGAACATGGCGAAGATGCGCAGTTTATTTCGTGCTACGATCTAATGGAGCCATCTGTGGATGACTTTCATAAATGACTGTGGAACACAAACCAGTTTCTTTCTTGTCGATTTCAGGGTGTCGTAGTACAAAATCGGATACGTTTACCTTAATTTCTCATTTATAAATTTGATAGAATTGTGTTTAGAAATTAACCCTCCAAAACCTGAAATTCATTCCCTGCCCCACAGTAAACACACATTGTATCCTTTACACAGACCAACCCATTAACTCTTTAAAGACTAATTTTGTTTTAAATAATATATAAGAATCTTTTCGTACCTCACAGGAAACATATTACGTCACCACTACAAAGCCCAACCTGTTAATGCTGTTTAGGGAAACAGTCTGTGTTTATTGTGAGAATATACGGAACACATCAAAAACACTCTGTGAGCCGAACTCAAAGTTTCTGTATGTTAAGGTGGATGGTACATCTAGTGACCACTGGGCTTTAAAGGGTTAATGTTGTTTAGGGAATGAATAACCGTTTATTTTTTGGGAGAATCGTTGTGATTATTATTATGTCTCTGCAGCCCTTTGTTGGTCCTTAGCCGCCTTTTCAGTTTCTTGATCCTTTGGACGGGGGATCAGGCCGTGGCAAGACCTCTACCTACACACAGAACAACACAGAATGAACGCACACAGACATCCACGCCTTGAGTGGGATGCGAGCCAAAGATCCCAGTGTTTGAGCGAGTGAAGACACTTCATGCTTTAGACTGCTCGGCCTCTGTGATAGGCTTCGGGAGAACCCAATGAAGCACAAATAGACTGTGGATGAAACACCGAGAACTTTAATGCTAAATCAGAACCGACCTTTAAAGTGTTTTTAATATGAACGCAAAAAACTTGCTTGCATGAAAACTTGTGAATAGAAAGGGAGCTAAGACCTCAACCAAAAATGACAGATCCCTTCTCCAAACAATTTGCCTCATAACTCACAAGAACCGAGCTGGTATCGAAATTGCTTCCTTGGAAACTTACGCACATCAACGTTAGGGCGCGTGCTGTGCTTGCAGAATCTGCCTATACGCCACTGCATATGAAGGTGCTGTACTTGCAGAATCTGCCTATACGCCACTGCACATGAAGGTGCTGTACTTGCAGAATCTGCCTATACGCCACTGCACATGAAGGTTCTGTGCTTACAGAATCTGCCTATACGCCACTGCACGTGAAGATGCTGTGCTTACAGAATCTACCTATACGCCACTGCACGTGAAGATGCTGTGCTTACAGAATCTGCCTATACGCCACTGCACGTGAAGATGCTGTGCTTACAGAATCTACCTATACGCCACTGCACATGAAGGTGCTGTGCTTACAGAATCTACCTATACGCCACTGCGCGTGAAGATGCTGTGCTTACAGAATCTGCCTATACGCCACTGCACATGAAGGTGCTGTGCTTGCAGAATCTACCTATACGCCACTGTACGTTAAGATGCTGTGCTTACAGAATCTGCCTATACGCCATTGCACATGGAGGTGCTGTGCTTGCAGAATCTACCTATACGCCACTGCACGTGAAGATGCTGTGCTTACAGACTCTACCTATACGCCACTGTACGTGAAGATGCTGTGCTTACAGAATCTGCCTATACGCCACTGCGCATGAGATGGCACAGGGTACCATTTTTCATAGGCTCGCCAATAGAGCGTTTTGAAGACAGTAGCATGCAAGATACACGCTGACAGTGATCGATGTGGTCAAGACTCTTCTCCCAGTGTTAGATGTCAGCACGAGTTGAAATGTTACGCGGTTATTCAGTTGCGAACTCCGTGTTCTGTCTTATTGTTTTTTTTTTCCTTTGCCATCATTGGTCCATTCGGGGATCGCATTTAGCGCGTTCACAGCGCACAGTTGCAGAAGTACATCAGTTAGCTTCTGTGTGTGTACTGTAGTCCTCACATAACAGCTCAAGAACCGCTGCACGTATTTTCATGAAGTCGATGTTGTTTAGTTTCGATATAATTTATGGGCGCGTTCTGCCTTTAGTTAAAATCGAAGAGCAATTTCACACACTTCACGTGAAGACCTACGCACGTTTCTGCGGACATCTCGACCGTAGCTGAACAGAAATTGTAGTGATATGTGAAAAGCCTGTTTTGTATCCATTAAAAATTGTTCGCAAATCTTACGGTTTCGATATATTAAACAAAATTAGCCGAAAGCACCAAAATTGATACATTTAGTTCTCGTAACATGTTCGTCTCATATAATGACATTTACTTGGCCTATAGTATAGACCACGCCGGTCACGGTAGCCGAGCGGTCTAAGGCATGCACTGTCTTCGCTCGCTCGGAAGCCGGGATCGTGGGTTCGAATCCCACTCAGGGCACGGATGTTTATGTGCGTTTTTCTGTGTTTGTCTACAGGTAGAGGCGTTGCGACGAGCTGATCACTCGCCCAAGGAGTCCTAATGTGTAAGATCTAGTAAACCGAAGTGAAACGGAGAGTTTCATGGAGGTAGGCCTAGGCCCAAATTGGGGCTGTAGCGCCACAGAAAAAAAAATAGTATAGCCCACAGTAGGTCTCCTCCTGCCCCCTACGTCACCCTTTACTCTTTTCATATAACGCTGCATTTTTCGGTGTCTGTACGTGGAGACCCCTGCTCCAACTGCTGCCCGCTAATCAGTTATTAGTAGCCTCTGTGTAATGCTGTTAGCCTATCTGGATCAGCCACCAGATTTATTTTATTTAATTAATTATTTGGCTATCAGACTCCCTGAAATATATATGTGACAGTTGTGCGCCTGACTAGCGTTGCGGTTGCAAATACCTCGTTTGGAGGCGAACATCAAAAACGGGTGAAGTGATGAGGGAATCCCCACAGACTTGCCGTGTTGACAGACATGGATGCTGTGTTTGATTTACTTTTTTAAAAGCGACCACAATTCGCTTGCTTGTTTCGAAATATACCTTCTGTTATTGTGTTTTATGGCGACACTGTGTGTATGAAATGAGTTCGCTCTCGGATGCAGAACCGTGGCTCAGTTTTTATCTGGAACGACTGATGAAAACTACGAAACGTAGATCTCCGGATCGAGGATCAGAATGTGACGCACGTCGACGTTTCATCCCGATCTTGTTTTAGAACAGAAAAGTTCATTGAAGATTTGAGGTTCTCACTTTGAGATATATGAAGGTTTACCGTATTGTGAGATGTGACGCCTTAAAGCCTAGTAGAAAGGTATCATCGTTACGGAAGAATCTGCTGCTTCCATCTTCAAGGTAGAAGAGTAAGCCATGCGAGAGTACGATGGTACAGATTCAGAAGATGCAGGAAGGGGTTGCAATTTCCTTCACCCTCAGACACTTGCCCCCGCCACTTTTAGGAGCCGCTCTGTCCCATCGCCCCACTCGCAGCTGCGGTTACTTTCGCTGTATTTAACCTCATTTATCCTCGCGGCTTACTTTACTACTCTGAGAAGAGAGGCAGAAAATCACTCCGAAACTTTGTTACGTTTATACAAGACGACACTGCTTGGGATCTTAGAATTCTGACTTTATACTAAATAGCTTCAATGAATCATTAATTGAAAAGCATGGAACGAAGCGGCCGTATCCTAATCGAAGTACTATCCCAGCATTTGCCTGGAGGAACGGACGAAAACCACGGAAAATCTCGGTCAGGATAGCCGGTGTCCCGGCTCTACATTCGAAAAGAGAGCCTCTAGAGTACGCTTCACAAAGTTTCATCACCGACCCCACAAAACCTGAACCACTCTTACGTTCCTCAGGAAGCCCCTGGGGGAACGGGCAGGCTTCCGGGCTGGCGGGAGCAACGGACTGGACCCGACCCGAATCCCCGTCCAATTCCCACGCTACCTCCTCGTGACTGAATTATTTAGTGCAGTCGTTTCTGTGTCCCTGCGCTCGTCTCCTGTCTTACACGTCGCGCTGTCTTGCTCAGCATTCCTTATGCATGCCTCACAGTGGCTGCATGTTCGCCCCCGCAGTTGTCAAATATTTAAATCGAAGGTTTAGTGCTCCGCGGTGCTACAGCATGTGCCAGAATTCGCAACCTGAAATATCTCGACTGGTAGCTGCCTCATGGGGCTCTCAAAAATGTGGAAATCGCCACAGAAACAAGTTCCAATCTTATGGCAAACAAACGCATGGAATACTTAACCAACCAACTTCATGGAGCTGAGTCCTTCTCGAGAAGCGGCCAATTCTGCAGCTACTCAAGAGCTTCCCAGCATTTTGTGGAACCCGAAGCCTCATTACCGTGTTCACAAGAGCCCTCCACTGGTCCCTATCCTGAGCCAGATCAATCCAGTCCATACCATCCCATCCTATCTCTCTAAGGTCGATTATAATATTATCCACCCACCTACGTCTTGGTCTTCCTGGTGGTGCTTTCCTTCTGGCTTTACCGNACAGAAGATCGCATTAAGTGGAGAAACTGTTTTGGAAGAGGCTGTGGACCTGTCGTCTGACAGATTACTACTAACTAACTAACTACGTCTTGGTCTTCCTGGTGGTTCTTTCCTTCTGGCTTTACCACCAATATCCTATATACATTCTTCCCCCATTCGTGCTAAATGCCCTTCACATTTCATCCTCCTTGATCATTCTGATTATACTTGGAGAAGATTGAAGCTCCTCATTGTGCAGTTTTTTCCAACCTCCTGTCACTTCATCTCTCTTCGGTCCAACTATTCTCCTCACCACCCTGTTCTCAAACAGTCTCAGTCTAACAGAGTAACAAACCATGTAATTAGCTGGCTGACTAACAGACTAAGTAGCTGATTAACTAAGCAACTATCTAGTTAAGTAACAACACTATCTAATGTTGAGTGAATTGTCCTATCTATAGTCTATACACGGTTTAGAATAAAGTACCGCGCTTATGGGTGCCATGGGGCCACACAGTCCCTCCAGGAAAGTGAGACGATAATTCCTTCAAATTCTTTCGAATTCATCATTCTCGTATTATCCATCCTATCATCCGACCCTATGCGAGTACAGTGTAACTGCTGAAAAAAACAGAACAAACTCCGTGGCCTGTAGTCCGCAAGCGAACTATACCGACCGAGCGACCGCCGCTTGTTGGCGAAGTTAGTGCCAACTTTTGCGGGTAGAGGGTGTCACGTCAGCGCAACGAATCCCCACGCCCGTTAAGTTCGGTTTTCTGGACCGGAGCCGCTATTTCCTTGAAATAGCTACTTAGTTATTCTCATGAGGCTGAGTGGACCCCATTCCAGACCCAATATTTCTCAGAAAATCTGGTATCGCCTGGAATCGAACCCGGGACCTGTGGATCTGTAGGCAGGAATTCTGACCACTGGACCACAGAGGCGGTCAACTGCTGACAGCATCGCGAAATTGCATTTCTATCAGGGCAGGTGTGGTTTTGGGGCCGTCAGTCTCGTGTCACTCTTGTTAACCAATGTTTTGTTATGAAGCATCGATCTCAGGTTGCCATAGCGGTAACGCTCCTGACTTATATTTGGGAGATGCTTAGTTCAAATCTAGGGCCGGCTATCCTTACTCAGGTCCTTCATAGTTCTACTCATTTCCTCTCGGTTCGGTCACTGTCTTCCTTCAGCACCTGTCCTGGTCCATCATTCATGTCACCCCACGGTACTCAGCGGCGTCAGACAGTGCTGAGTCTGAGTAGTGCGTGGCCGCCACTTGCTATAGCCACGCACCCTATGTGAACGGTGCTGCCTTCTGGTGTTGAAGGCTCTCCCTGTACCAGGCCATGGAGACCCACAGGGTTCTGAGACGTCGAGGCACCCACATTTTCTAGACAGTCGGCTCGCAGATGGCGGTGAGGATTTCAGCCTTAGGCGCCGGCCACCCTTTACCCCCAGGAAGATTCCTGGTACTCATTTCTGTTAGAGGCTGAGTCGACCCCAGGGTCATAGTGCGGCTAGAAGGATTAGGTCAACTGAAAGATCCAGTGACGTCATCGAGAGTCGAACCAGCCATCTTCCGTCTTGTAGCATAGTGCCTCAATCAACTACGCTTCCGCGTGCCCCGCAAGGAATCAGCTTATCTCATTTTGGGGGAATTTCCTTCATAAATAAGCTTCACAGAGCACATGCATACAGGATTAGAGCATTTTTTCTTCTATGGATCTTAACAAAGGTAAAATTGTTCCTATACTTAACCAATTAAGCACTACGCCATGAAAGCGTATGGGGGAGTGGCTGTGTAGATCCATGTTTTCTTGACATCGGCACTAGTTGGAAGTGTGGTCAGCTTCACGCCCCGGCCGTTTTACCGCCGGGGAAAGAGACCCGGTATGATTTACCGGGGCTCGAACACCGACCCCTCAGTCATCCAGTCCATAGCCAATCGCTATACCGACTGCTATATCCCGGCTCCTTTTTTGATGTCTTCTAGCCGCACAAATTTTGTGGTCATCAGAGAACGTGACTCAGTATTTTCTGTCACCTTTCTACGGCTCTTGCTGCCTCCCGGCGCGCAGGATTGCGTACTACATGTTCTGTTACTGTATGTCCTGAAGACGCGCAGATGTGGCACAAGATGCAGCATCCTGTTGCAGGTCTTGTTCGCCCTCTCACATGCAGACATGCGTTAACATCTTAAAATTCACTTCGAATTTTAATTTTTTTTACACCATATGGTGCACTACATGTCTCGACGGATATGGTGCCATCAGGTGCTTCTCAGGTTGCTGTTGAATCACCCAGCGCTACAGACGCACTGTAGACGCATGGGCGCATAAACGAGGGTCCATTTTGGAGTTACATTCATGACGGAAGTGCAGCAGTTTTCAGAGTACCCGATGACAACCATATTGGTCGAAACATGAAGTGCACCAGTGATGTGAAAAAAAGAAATTAAAATTAAAAATGAATTTTAAAAAATTGTTACATGAGATACGTCGGAATTAGAAGCGAAAAGANTTATGGGGGGGGGGGGTTAAGCGGAATTTAAAATAGAGATGGTTGCTATGACTGCAAAGCCAATCCTCGGACGCTGAGTGGAGAATCAGTTGGGGACCGCTTCTGACGTCAGCGCGTCTAGTAGCTTTCCAATCACCATGAAAAATCTGTCTGAAAATCCTGACATCAGTTTTGGTCATTTCAGCGTTCAGTAGGAACCACTGGAAAGGGGCGCGGACCGAGAAATGATGAAACCCCTGTTCTGTGGTGTGTCAGTCTCGCTAAAGACAGTCTTGCCAAGTTGAGGAATGTGCCATTCCTCTGTTACGTCAGCGCGGAAACTTAGTTTGAAGCATCGCATCCATACGTCCCCTGAGGAGTCAGTACTCCCGCCTTGCAGATGCATTTATGCTTCGTTAAACTACAAATCCCTAGGTGGCAGCACCAGCTTCAAGTGACTCGGGCGTTCAACGACAAACTACAAACAGCCGACTCCATGTGATGACCTCTGAGTGATTCCGGAGTGCCTGAGGTTAAAATCGTTGAGCGCGTCAGGTTGAAAGATGGACAGGCGGACACTGCACAGTGGGACAGACATGGTGTCTCCACCAAGAACTCTTAACAGCAGTTGAATACATTTGTAGGACGCATGCCACGTTAAACGGAACTTCGTCAGGCCTCAGTCTTGATCCTCAAAGTACAATTTATAATTTCCCCTCAAACAGCTCATACTATAGGAATCGGTAAAGAGTAAACCCTCGCTAATCCGGAGCAATTGGGAGGAGAGGTCTACTGGATTAGTGAATCAAGGCAGCACTAAAAGCCAAAAATGAAAAATTAGAACACAAATAATTGGAGAATTTAATGATGCTATTAGTGCTGATGAAAATAAACAAAAACAATATCACTGTAAAGCCTTTGTTTAAAAAATATATTCATCGATAGAAGACTCAGAAATTTTACTTGTTTTTTGAACGTAATAATGCGGTTTTGAAGAAACTCTCAAGTTTTCTTTTCTAAACAGACAAGTGGCTCATCTGCCTTCCTAAACGTTACGTGTCTTTAAGTATGTACTCAACTGTGAACAGCATTTTTCATATTTCGATCCGGATTATAGAGTGTTTGCTGTAAAACGAACTGTGGGCCCTCTTTCGCTGTACGACTCTTATTTGAAAAGTTTTTCGATATGCCGAATACACCAGATCTGCAGCAAAATAATTTTATGCCTATGGATTAGCTTTGAAGGAACACGAGGCTTGTTCAGCAAAAAAAAAAAAAAAAGATCAAGATCAAAGGGCACATTCATTCACAGACATCTATTTTGGTTTTGTTTCCAGCAGAAGTCCCGTCACCATAGAGACTTCACGCTGGGCCCGCCTCCCTTGTTGCCTACGGTTGCCGCCCCGGAGCCCAGCCCTCCGCCTCCTCCAGAAATAGATAATGTTGAAGACGAAGACTACGATCCGGCGGAGGATGAGATTCTCACCAAGCAGAGTGAGTGCCCATGTCTCTGTTCTTCCTATCTATAGGGTGTTTCGATTAACAATCCCACGTAATGATTTAGATTCTATATCATGAAAAATTAAACAGTTCCGTCTAGTGTGACTGGTGAAGATTTTTCCTATTTCAGTTATTTATTTATTTGCTTTTTAAATGCAACAGTGCGCCACAAACACATACAGGACAACATCAAAGAACCCTCTTCTCGAGAACGGCAAGGCGGCACACGTTCCACCCCGTCAAGAGAAATGATAAGAAAGACGACACGAACCGACTTGGTTTATAAATTCCAATAAAAATTTTTAACAAACCAGTTACAAATATTTTAATGTATTGTGACAGCCGCTTTAGTTGTAAAAACTTTAGATTTTATACCCAGTTGTATGTTATTAATACTATGTGTATGTATTTTGGCGTTCAGAACATATATTGTAATAGTGGCTTCCAGCTGTACTGATGTAAAGGTGTCCCTCTGATAATGGCATCTGAGACCGAAACATGTAAGGGCATAAATAACTGAAATAAGAAAAATCTTCACCAGTCACACTACACGGAACTGTTTAACTTTTCATGATATTGTTAGTATGACGAACCAGAATGAAAGAAATCAAATTCATAGACTCTGTATATTTAACAGTTTGTTTTCATAACTGAATTAAATGTTGGACATACCTCATTACCAGGGCCCGGATTTTAATGACATGTCATCTTTTTTTTCCTTGTATCCTATGCGATGCTCTTAAATATATAAATCTTGGGTTTGAGCTGCTGGTTACAGAAATGTAAATTTTTGGACTTCTAAGGATATTTCTTGTCATTTTTGGAAAATTTTAGGGAATTTTTCTTCATATGTTTTCTGAAATGTGAATAACATGGAAGCGAAGTGTTCTTTCTCTTTCTCTTTCTCCTTTGGGTCATTTTTCTGGATTTTTTTTCGGTCATTTTATAGGCAATTTTTTAATATTTTCAGGTCATGAAAATCCGGGCCCTGCTCGTTACATTTGTGATGTGTTGTATTATAAGACATATGTAAATTTCGTCTTTGATGAGCTCAAATGTCTCAGTCAAATTCCAGGGGTTTCATTCCCAGCAGGGCAGAATTTTTATTTTCGCTACCGCGTCGATATCAGCTCTGCTACCCACTTACTTTCCACTCCAACAGGTAGAGGGATTCATTTTCCATTGGGTAAAGCAGACGAAGCATCCGGCTGTATATTCATGTTCACCCAGTATCAAGGATTGTAATGCATTTAGATTAACTTTCGTGTCTCGTGCGATTTCATGTTGCTGCGCCTAGGCACAGAGACAACTTGCATTACGTTTCCCCTGTTCTGGATGTTGCTGCATTGTGATGGGTGTTGAGCTGCAAAATCCTGACGCTGTAACTAGATTTACGTTTAAATGTTAGCTCGCACATTGAGAGCGGCGAGATAAGGCGCCGGATGAAAGAGACGCTCCCCCTTTGTTAAGCTTGTGAGTGCAGGAATCTTCAGAACGCAATAGCTCAGCACACTGTGCGTTAAATGTTTCGCAGCGGTCCGTCTGAGAGGCCGTGACTCGCTGTAGCGCGAGACGGTATCACGGGGCTTTTGGGCTCCAGGCAGTTGTTCAAACAGCGGATTTTTATCTAATTTCCTTATTTAAAAAAATATCACCATGCTGTGCGACTGAGAATCCCCCCCACCCATTAACTTTTGAATGCCTGAAACAATTTTTATTAAACTTTTTTTTTATTGCTGGTGGGGTGGGACTAAGTCCCTTGTACTGCGGCCACTTCTGGCCTATTGTACCAGCCCCAGATGATAGGTGAGGGTGATTGTGGAGCAATTGGTGGAATGAAGATTGGCAGGGGAAACCGAAGTACTCGGAGAAAATCTGCCCCAGCGCCACTTTGTCCACCACAAATCCCACTTGACCAGACCCCGGGATCGAACCCTGGCCGCCGCGATGGGAAGCCAGCGACTAACCGCTTGAGCTATGGCGCGGCCTTTATGAAACTTAGTACGTGTATTATGGCACCTGAGCCCATCTCAAACGGCGTATTTCATATATCCCTGCCATCAGTCTGTGTGTTTGTATGTGTGTCCTCTCTCGTTGATAGGCAAGGGTTCAGTAAAAAAACGTTACCGCGGCAACGAATACGCATGCAAGAAGACTTATTGGACATGTTTCATGTGCGGGCCGTGCCGTAACAAAGGAAATTAGGTAATTATTTCTTCACAGAACTTCTTGTTAAATTTAACGTCGCTAAAGCAAGCCATATTGGGCACGCTGTAGCGCTAGGCATTGCTACCAACGCAGGAAATGAACTTCAACAGTTGCAGTCGTTTTCGGAATCCAGATAGCTCGCTGCAATTAAGGTTGGCCGATTTTTGAGTTCGCAAGTTGTGATGAGGGCCACTAAACAGACGCGCACACAGTAAGCTCCACTTCCGGCAGAGTGAAGTTCGTATCGAAATCCGATTTGAAGGAATCCTTCATTCCATGCCCCCTCCCCTCCCTCCTTTCTTCTTCGGATTATCAGAGACGGGCAGACGGAAATACGATAAAGGAGCGGGTGTTCTACCAAAATCACTGACCAATGAGAAGTAGGTTTAGGCCGCGAGAATATAGATGGCCGTAGAGAGAGGTTTAGCCAGCGAGAATATAGATGGCCATGGATAGAGGTTTAGGCCGCGAGAATATAGATGGCCATGGATAGAGGTTTAGGCCGCGAGAATATAGATGGCCATAGAGAGAAATTTAGCCCTCGAGAATATAGATGGCCATAGAGGGAGGGTTATTCCGCGAGAATATAGATGGCCATGGAGAGAGATTTTTGTTTTCTTTGGCACTCTAGCCGCAATTTGGGCCTTGGCCTACCTCCACGAAACTTTCCGTTTCACTTCGGTTTACTAAATCATAGACATTCAATAGGACTCCTTGGGCGGGTTATCAGCTCGTCGCAAGCCCTCTACCTGTACACAAACACAGAAGAATGCACACACATAAACACTAAACATCGATGCTCTGAGTGGAATTCGAACCCACGATCGCGGCTTCCGAGCGAGCGAAGAAAGTGCATGCCTTAGACCGGTCGGCTACCGTGACCGGCGGAGAGAGGTTTAGCCCGCGAGAATATAGAGTGACGCGCGAAATGATCCAGTATTTGATTTAGTATTAATTATTCAACCATGCAATGAACCATGTTTTGTAACATGATAACACTGACAGTAGAGCTTGGAGATTAGTTCTTACTCTTGCCGTGCGCTAGTGTCGCGCTCTTCCTGCTCATAAGCCAGTTTACACAAAATGGCTGACAAAGAAAGACTGTAGAACATCGCATAAAAGCAGTGTTGTCCTTTACTGAAACAAGAAGTGTTGTGGTCACACAGAGGCGGTTTCCTGCCCGTTTTAAAACGCAATGGCCGACTTAATTCAAAACCATTCATTTATAACCAGTTTAATAATGATAGTTCAGTGTTGGAGAGGAAACGTCGCCGATCTTCATCTGTGAGTTCTTCGGGGCACACTGACGCTGTCAGAGTGGCGCTACAAACACGCCCCAGTAAATCAACAGGGAAGGCTGCAGCGATATCCAGACGATGGGAGCAACGAATATTGAAAAGTGCTTTGAATTTGTGTCCATACAAATTGACAGTGTTGCGTAAACTTAAAGTTCAAACAAACCTCAAATCATGACATTTGCTAAATGGGTTCAGTATAATGAGTTATCGCTCAACAGTGTTTGGATTTCTGATGAGGCACATTTCCACTTGGATGGTGTGGTTAATAAACAAAATGTGCGATTTTGGGCATCGAGAAATCCGCATGTAATTCATGAGGAGGTGCATCATGCACCGAGAATGACAGTGTGGGTTGCCATCTCAAGTTATTGACTGCTAGGGCCAATGTACTTTGAAGAGACAGCGAACAGTGAGCGCTATTTAAGCATGTTGCACAGTACTTCTGTGCCTCCCCTTCTGGCTACAGGTTTGCCGGTACAGACTCACTAGTTGATGCAGAATGGAGCCAGGACGCACACAACGGATGTTGTTTTGGACTTTCTGCATGACACTTTCCACTCGCATGTCGCCTCAAACAAATTTCATAATCTTTTGCATGTGGATGGAACTGGACGCCGAATAGCTCTGATTTAAACCAATGTGACTACTTTCTTTGGAGACTCCTGAAGGAAAAGATTTTTCCGAAGAAGCCGCAAAAATAATGGAGCTGAGAGCACTAATCATTCGGGCCTGCAACGAGATAACTGAGGATACGTGCCGCCGATAATCAAAAACTTCACAGGTCTTGTTGAAGTTGCCAGACGTAATGGTGGTCATACTGAACACTTGAATGATAGAGGATAAATCTCCATGCAATGGCCTTTTATTATATGTTAGTTTCTAATATTGTAATTGAAATACAGATTTTGTTAATAGATCAAATGCTGGATCATTTCATACGCCGTGGAGATAGGTTTAGGCCCCGAGAATATAGATTATTATCATTAAGCAGTTGAAAGGAACTTAAAGCCCCAGACAGCGTATAGAGATGCATTTCCTTCCTCACAGGCAACACACTACGTATGTCTCCATTGCAAGGACCTACCGGTTAATGTTATATTTACGGAAGTGGGGGGAGGGGACACGCGGTAGCGTAGTTGGTTGAGGCACTATGCTACAAGCCGGAAGATCGCAGGTTCAAGTCCCGATGAGGTCACTGGATTTTTTTCAATTGACCTAATCCTTCCAGCCGCACTATAACCCTGGGGTCGACTCAGTCCTAAATAGAAATTAGTAGCAGGAATCTTCCTGGAGAGTAAAGGGTGGCCGCCGCGTAAGACTGACAACCTTACCGCCATCTTCGAGTCGATTGTCTAGGTAGTGTGGGACCCTCAACGTCTCACAGCCCTATGGGCCTTCACGGCCTGGTACAGGGATAGCTTTACTTTTTTTTTTTATTTGTGGATGTGGCCGTCTTTTGCTCTGAGATTCGTACGAAACGAGTCAATA